TGGGTACCTGTCCCCGTCCCCAGGTGCCTGTTCCCATCGTGGAGATGCCAGGTGGGTACCTGTCCCCATCCCAGGGTGCCCATCCCCATGGCGAGGATGCCAGGTGGGTACCTGTCCCCGTCCCCAGGTGCCTGTCCGCATCATGAAGATGCCAGGTGGGTGCCTGTCCCCATCCCAGGGTGCCCGTCCCCACCCCTGGGTGCCCATCCCCATGGTGGGGACATCACCGGGTGCCTGTCCCCATCATGGAGATACCAGGTGGGTACCTGTCCCCATTCCTGGGTGCCCGTCCCCATCATGGGGACGTTGTGTGCCCATGCCCATCCCCATCTGTGGGTGCCTGTCCCCATCCCAGGGTGCCTGTCCCCATCCCTGGGTGCCCATTCCCATCCTGGGGTGCCTGTCCCCATCCCGGGAATACTGGGTACCTGTGCCCATGGCTGGGTGCCTATGCCCATGGCCAGGTGCCTGTCTCCATCCCTGGGTGCCCATTCCCATCACAGGGTGCCCATTCCCATCACAGGGATGCCGGGTGCCTGTCCCCATACCAGGAATGCTGGATACCTGTCCCCATGGCTGTGACACCCTATGCCCATGGCCAGGTGCCCATCCCCATCCCCTGTCCCCATCCCAGGGTGCCTGTCCCCATCCCTGGGTGCCCATTCCCATCACAGGGATGCTGGGTGCCCATTCCCATCCCAGAGTGCCTGTCCCCATCCCTGGGTGCCAAGCCCCATCCCTGGGTGCCCATCCCCATCACAGGGATGCCAGGTGCCCATCCCCATCCTGACGTGCCTGTCCCCACGGTGGGCACATCAGGGTCCCGTCCCCATCCCGGGGTGCTCATCCCCGTGGCGCAGCCTTCCTCCTCACCTCCCTCTTCTTCTTGGCCTTGACGTCATCTGTGCCAGCGGGCAACCCCCCTTTCCTCTTGGCACCCTCCGCCTTCTCCCGGGGCCTGTTCCCGTCGCCGTCCTTCATCTTTTTATACTTCCGCATAAACTCCGAGATCAGCTCCGGGCAATCCAGGTTCTTCTCCGGCTCCCAAGTGTTGTGTTCCCTGGCACCCAACGACCACCCCCATCACCACCACCATCATCATCCTCACCGCTCCCGCCCCGTGCCCGGCGGGACTTACTCGGAGAAGCCCTTCCACTTGAGCAGGTACTCGGCCTGGCCCTTCACCACGCGCCGGTCCAGCACCTTCTCCACCACATACTCTTCCTCGTCTCCCGAGGACGAGCTGTCGGCTGCCCGCTTGCTCCTCTTGCCCATAGCGCAGCGCCCACGGGTCCTGGGTGGGGGTGTGCCAAGGAGGGGGGGGGGGGGG